GAGTCAGGTGACAGAGAGCTCTCTACGGCGTCGCATGGGTAGTATATACCCCCCACCCCACCACACACACACACACACTCTCTCTCTCTCCAGGCCAGCAGGAAGGGCAGTGCCCTCCCCCTGACATTGAGCTGTGATGAGCACAGCACATTCTGCAGTAAATGTAGCCCCGTCCTCAACCCCTGAATGTTTTCAGCACTAAGCATGATGTGCACAAGATAACATCTGATTAACCCTTAAACCACAAGACACCTCACATGGAATGGGATTCACTGTGTCCTTCATCTTCGGCATTAGTAAGGCGAAGCGTTCCTGCTACCTGGTACAAACGGAAGCTATTTACCATTCCCCTTAGTCTCATTACAATAGCAGTAGCTTTACAGTATGGTCACTTGCACACTTCCCTTAGCCCTCTTCTGTGGCAAGGTTATATTAAGATCTTTTGTGAATAATATAGTGGAAGCTGTATCTTTTGCAAACAACATACATATTTCATAGCTTTCATGCCCAGAAGCCAGTTTCTTGAGGATACTGTCTATAAATTGCAAATGAAAGAAGATGCGCTTATTTATTACATTACTTCCAACCAGGAAAAAAAAAATGCTGTCTCTAATTTAAAGGCCCAATGAAAAAAACAAACAGCTAGTGTATGTTGTTCAGACATGCCAAGTTTTGAAAGCTTTCCTGCTTGAGTATTTATTTGTGATGTAAGAATCATGCTAGGGACTCAGGTACCTCTTCAGCTCACATAAGGTTTAAGAGATAGGGCAGCATAATTGGTGAATTCAAGGTGACTATTTGAGCTTAAGTATAGTGGTTATACTGAAAGTTTCTTCTGGTTTGAGTTGTAGCAGTATTTCCCACACAGAGCATAAGAGATGTCCCTGGGACTGTTAGATCCCTAATCCATATTTTTTCATATATCATTTGTTAAGTGCGAACGGTGGGCTCTGTGCTGCACAAAACTCTAAATACCAATAAGTATTCTGGGGGCACTAGGAGAAACAACATTTAGCAAGTGAATTCTTGCGTTTCCCCAGTTAATCAGCAAATGTATTTGTATCCTTTCCCCCCTTTTAAAGTCACTTTTAATACAGAATCTCATTACTGAACATCAAGTATGTGCAAATAGAGCTGGGCATCACTAGTGAAAATCTTTGCATAAAATTTCATCACCAGCTGGGTTCATGCAGGCTGAGCTTTCCCAAAATTTTGCTTTTGGCTTAACATTTTTCACAGGCCAGTTGGTGAAATCCAGTTCTAGGTTGGAATTTCACAAAGTCCCATGTGGAGACAAGACAAGAGGCTGACCATGTAGGTGCACAGGTGCCATGGAGGCAGAGGGAGGCAATGTAGGCACTTCCTCTAATGCATCACTGGTAGATGGTATCTGTCCCCCTACAGTCCAGCAGGATGTGGCAGGGAGTGGTCAAGAAGGTTTGTGACTTAGAGGAAAACAATGAATTTGAGGCTGAAGACATAAAGGTAGTTTAGTTAAGTGGTAGCAGATAAACCAGCCTGTTTCCCAACAAGACCCCCAAGTGAACTTGAAATAGCATCAGTTCTCATGTGACCTGAACACTATTGCTGCAGCAGAGCCTCGCCATCACTGTTTTGGATCCTGCTCTCTTCAGGAACTTTTGAAGATCTCTGGGCAATGTCTGTTCAAAACCTGGCAGCTGCCACGGACCTACAGGAGAGGTACCAGGGCTCCAGGATGAGAGAGTTAGTAGTTTTCAGCATAAGGATATCATATTAAATTCACAACAACTGGATCCTGTGTGCGTCTCACTGGGATACCTAAGTATGCCTATTCCATTGTGATGACCATGTGCAGTAAGCAGAGCTTTGAGGAATGGGTTCTTAGCTTGGCACACCTACACCACAAGAGAAGATTCTCAACACAGTCCAACAAACCTCTGTTTCTGGACAAAACTGAATGTTTGCTCATGCCTGTCATTACCCTGTCTAGCAAGTGCACGTTATGCCCTAAAATGTGGGTGAGCCAGCAACTGAGATAGTTTTATGAATAAATAGCCAAATGTAGGTGTAGCCAATGGCTGTACGGTACCTGCACATATGTCTGCTTTCATTTTTTGAATATCTGTAGCCAGAGGACATTTTCCACAATGCCGATGTCAGGTGATATTACTGGGTTTTGATACTGGAAGGCTCCCCAAAAGGGAGGGTGATTGAAAGGTACAAGTCTGGCCTTGCCTTAGGAATGTGGATTGGAGACAATACACTATTGCAGTGCTTCTCAAACTTGTTCTGCCACTCGTGCAGGGAAAGCCCCTGGCGGACCGGGCCGGTTTGTTTACCCGCCGCGTCCGCAGGTTCGGCCGATCGCGGCTCCCAGTGGCCGCGGTTCGCTGCTCCAGGCCAATGGGAGCTGCTGGAAGTAGTGGCCAGTACGTCCCTCGGC